AAAGACAGTTTTGTGCGACACCCTCTTGCTGACGGCACTTGTGGCAGGTGCGGCATGCCCTGCTTGCGGTATTCAAAAACTTGCCGTTCGGGAGCCGGCAGAAAAGCGCAAGGGACTTTCGTCGCTCCTCGAACCTCATTGCAAAAACAGCGAATGCTCAGCGACTGTTCTTTTGTGCTCCTATACGTCACTGCGTGTTACGGCGGACGGCAGCAGCCGAGTGAGCCAACGGTACGACAGTGGGAGCTCCCGAGATAGTTTCGCTGTAAATGTGAAGGCGGTGGTGGCTGCACGCGCTGTCGGCATTGGGAATGAGCAATTGTCGAGATTTTGCTTTATTATTGGACTCCCTAAGCCAATGCACCACCGAGGATTTTTTTCGATAGCAAAGAAGGTGCACACCGCTGCCATGGCAGCTGTGAGTGAAAACTTGCGCCGATCCAGAGAGTTCACGAAAGAAGTAGCAGGCGAAGCTGATGTGGCTGTTATGTTCGACGGCACTAGGCAGAAGAGGGGCCACAAAAGCCACAACGGAATTGGCGCAATTATCTCCTTAGATACTGGCCTCTGCTTAGACTTCGAGGTCATATGAAATTACTGCCTGACATGCAGTAGGCACAAGGATATGGGCCCAGACGAGGAAGTGTGGCAGGCATTCCATGGCCCAGTCTGTGAAAAAAAGGCAGACTGTTCCTCCCATGCCATGGAAACGGAGGCTGCAATGCGCATTTGGCAGAGAACATTGACTTATGACACCCCACTGCATTTCATGACATTCTTGAGTGACAGTGACAGCAAAGCATATAGTGCAGTTGCAGAGTCAAAAGTCTTTGGTGCTGTCAATATAGAAAAAGAAGACTGCACTAATCATGTGGCCAAGAGACTTGGCACCGCGCTATGGAAGCTGCATGTGCCATTACCACAAGGGCAGAAAATGAAAGCCAGCCTTTCAGAAGCTCCAAACATACTATCGGATTGCCATAACAAGCAACAGGGGGAGTGTACGGGATATGTATACTGCAGTATGGGCTTCGTACTTCCACTCATGCTCTACTGACAATGCTGGCAGCCACAAGTTTTGCCCTGCAGGAACAGAGTCGTGGTGAAAACATCAACGCGCTGAAGCACTTGGTGAACCTGCACCACGCCACACACCTCTCCTGACAATAGCACAGGGATTGGCTGTTTTGCCCATTTATAAGCGGCTAACGGATGAGAAGCTCCTTGCTCGATGCATCAAAGGGAAAACCCAGAACGCATCGGAATCCCTGAACAGCAAAATTTGGCTACTTTGCCCCAAGACTAAGTTTGTCTCCCGAACGGTTGTCGAGACTGCCGCAGCTATGGCAATCCTGTGGTTCAACAACGGTCATGCTACTTTCGAGCACATCCTGGAAGAGCTCAACATACTGCCATCTAGAGATCTAGTTACTTTCAGTGATTCCCGCGACGCGAGATGCATCAAGAGAATGTCCGAGCGTCTGACAGCAGAAGCAAGGGCCCACCGTCATCGTAGAGTGAAAAGGGCACGGCTAGAAGAGAGTGCTCGCAAGGACCGTGAGGGCACAACCTATGCTGCAGGACAGTTCTAGTAACTTGCAGTGCTTTTCAAAGTTCTGTTGAACATTATGGACAAAGAATATGCATTTCTAACAACTCTGTGATAAAAAAAAAAGGTTTCAAACTTTCCAATGCGTTTTTCTCCTTTTGCAGTTTTGTGTGACCTGTGCTTCTCATACACGCTAGTTCGTATACTTAGAATTGTCATACCTCTATGAAATTTTGCACATAGCATGATGAAGGCCCAGAGAGTACAAGTATCTATTCAGATTGTCAGTGCTGCTTGATTATGTATTTCAAAAATTACATAACATTGAAAGCCCTTGGCAACTAGAGCCATAGTAAATTTTTCTATTTTATTATTGTATTTCACCTTTTTACACACAAAATTTATATAGTTTTTTGCACTCTTCAGTTCCAGAGGATCCTAGTCGGCTATATCTGCATGCTTTATCTCAAATTTTTATAGGTCATAATCGTTGCATAACAATGGCCATAATTTTGCAGTATCTGACCTGCAGAAAGAAAACCAAGCAATCTACATGAAAATAAATGACATATTTGAAAAGAGGAGAAAAAACTCTATTAGCATGCCAATTTGTGTTAAATTCTGACTCTTATTAAAGAAAATCGTTTTTCGAGTAGCATCTCCCCTTAAATCACCAACGACTATATATAGCGTAGGAAGTTCATCAATGAAGCTTCGAAATTGTGTATTTGAAAGTTGATAGCACGGAGGAATGTAAATAGAAGTAATTGTCAGTAGCTTCCCGAAGAGCACTGCTCGGACAGCAAGTGCCTCAAGAGAAGTTCGGAGGTTTATCTGCTTATAGGCAACACCTTTATCAACTATTATAGCTACACCACCCGACAACGCGGCAGCATCGTAACGGTCTTGTGGAAGATGGCATATTGCTTTAGAAAGTTTGTTTGTGTGGACTTGAGATGTGTTTCCTGAACACACAGCACCTTTGGATGATGAGGGCATGATGTCATGCTTTCCAGCATATTATGCCCTCTCCCTATGGAGAGAATGCGAGAAGTTAAGACTATGTTTTTTTTTTTATAATTGCAATATCCATGTAATATAAGTGCAATGAAATTGGTCATTTTTGAAAATTTTAGATTGAAGAATTCCAACTTAGCTTGTCACTTGGAGTCCTTGAAAAAGTTGCAACAAGTCCTGGAAAGTTCTTGAATATCCTTGAATTCTCTCTTTGAAAACCTGTACAAACCTAGAACATCACGAACCGCTTGCTAGACGAGCTGCCACACGGTTTGCATTCCCGAGGACGATTGGACGGACAGTTGGTGCCAATAGAATATCAAGTGTAGCGCTGTGGAGACTAGTGAGAATTTAGTCAATGCGCTCGCATTCAGAAATAGTTCAGTGCAGTTACTTGTGAAAATGGCTCAGCATCAAATGAGAATATTTTGTAACTTACGAAGTAAATAAGCACCGTTGTATGTCTGTTACTACGTGGCTAGATCGGTTAGCGCCTTCTTGTTTTCTTTCCATGGTATATTGTTTTGCAGGTGGCTGTAAAGCATCATGTGGAGGAAGAAAAGGAAATTAGACAACAATCTTTTAGTGGCACAAAGCCACAATAAATGTTGAGTAGTTGTCTAATTTCCCTTTCTTAACCCTTCCGCCATCTTACAGGCCTCTGAAAAACTCGTTTGCAACATAAGGAGGCTCACGCTCTGCTCATGGCAGCATTTACGACGACGAAGGCTGTTCTGAAGACGCGCGAAGGAATGCGTCATGCTAACTGTACTTCTTGCATAGTTTTCACAGCATTGCATGCACCTGATGTGTAGAATGAAGTATAGTACCTTGTGTAAAGAATGGGAATATTTAGACGAATGCCTTAAATGTCTCGTCAATCGCAAAATTTGACCTGCAGCATCGAGAACATGTGACGCAAAGACGATGCATGCAGGGGTGCAACAGCTGTGCCAACTGCGCCAATTTGCTACAATTCCCTACTCTTGGGCCGAGCTTCGCCAAAACCATGAAATATGCTGAAATTTCACCACGCTGTGCCAAAATGCCCAACCAGCCTCAAAATTTTCTCAGTTGCGCTAATTTCAGCGTAAATGGAGGCCACGTTGCCCACCTGCAGTCTTATTCATCAATCAGTCTACGCGTGCAGACTCTAAACCACGGTAACCTAACCACGCTAACCTTAAAGTGGTACTGACACAATAAATTTGGCCTCGTGTTTTTTTGCTACAATGCGTTGCTCTAGGGCTATTAGTCGTGACACGACAGATTTTTTGCTGCAGCACGTGATAGATAATTAATTACAGGCCCCTCATTATCAATCACTTTCAGCTTCGGTTTGAGAAAGTTCCAAAAACTGGGTGCAACTGTCGCCACCTAGCGTGTGCAACTCGTGTTCACTACGGCACACAGAACTGTGACGCACTTCCGCACGATCCGCATCAAGAATTAATTTCGAATAGGAAATGGCTTTGGAATGTCGCCAAACACCAAACTTTCTAAGCGTGCGCCACGGCCACGCACTCACAACCAGCCGTCGAGAAATATAGACTTCGGGAACTAACGCAGCAAAAGAAAAATGGCGGCTGTGACGTCATAACTTGTTTTGTTGACTGCAGCGTAGTGACGTCAGGGAAGTAAGGGGTCACCTCGGGGATCACCTCTGAGGCTGTCTATAGCGCTATAGAGTCGGTCTCTCACGCAAACTTCAAAATCAATTTAAAATACCTTCCAAGCTACATTCGCTGTTATTATCTTGGAGATGATATACGAATGTTCACGAAAATTCATCCCGCAGACTATCTTGGCTCCAAAGTTTTGTGTCAGTATCCCTTTAATCCCATTAAGTCGGGGCACTCTCGAGACGCGATTAACCAGATAAAGTAACAAAGCCGTGCGCTGTTAGGAATGAGGTGTCGGGACATCCCACAATGCCCATGACTCTGGTGATCTTGGGTAGGGTAGCGTGATCCTGGCTGGAACCATCAGAGTCTTAATAGAAGACTAGCAGAAGAGCCAGAGTACGTAACAAGAATCGTTTATGCACAGCATTCACATGTTTAGAGTAACATGAAACAGATTAAGCACACCCAAGTCTCTCTGCCTTCGCTTTTTATAACCTCCATGTTGCCAAGCTTCCCTGCAAGGGAAGACATTTGAGTCCAGGTCCCTCCAATGAGATCGTCATCCTCTACTCCGCCCGTGAAGAATCAGTCAAAATTCCTCCCAGGAAAGGGGGAAAAGCACGCACTGATCGTGGGGCTGTTTGCACAATGCGCGAAGTGAGATAGGTGCAAAACCATTTTAGATGTAAAAAGCTTTTGAATGGGGGTGGGTCTAGATCGACTGGGAAGACAGAGGCCTCTCAGAATCGTCTTGGAGGAATGCACTGGGGATAGGAGCCTGCTATGATAGGAGCCTCTCTGTACTGCAGGTGGAGGTAAATGAGAAGAAGGATCGGGTGAACGATGCCCTGAACGCCACTCGGGCTGCTGTGGAGGAAGGCATTGTGCCCGGTGGGGGCACTGCTCTGCTGCGTTGCCTGCCTTCTCTGGACAGCGTCAAGACGGAGAACGACGACCAGTGCACGGGCGTGGGCATTGTGCGCAAGGCGCTCAAGCAGCCCTGCATGCAGATTGCCCAGAATGCCGGCGTGGACGCAGCTGTCGTGGTACAGAAGGTTGTCGAGGGCAAGGACGACTTCGGGTACGATGCCATGCGCAACGAGTATGTCCAAATGATTGGGGCCGGTATCATTGATCCCACCAAGGTGAGCACAATGTTCATTATTTCAATTAAAACATGCTGTGCCAATGAAATTGTGACAGTGCAGTTCAACGCCCTTGGACAAACAGTTATGTTGTTGCAGAAAAACAATGGATTGGTTATGATAGACGAACTGCTCTTTGAGAACTGTAAAGCCATAGGTATCACTATCATAAGTTGATTATTAGTTGAGGGAACTGAGATTGAAGCTTAATTTTTTCATTTTCGCATTGAAATCTCCGAAACATAAAAAATTTCAAGATGTACTTTCCGTATTTTTGTGACATTGACTGAATGAAATTTCTGAAACTTAGTATGCTAGGTCTATGGCACTTGCAGGAGACAAATGTACTTTATGTTTATCGATTGGAAGCTACGTAGGACCCAGTAGATGACTTCACATTCCATGATGTCACGGTGTTTAGTGTGACAATGTTTAGGTGTGACAAGGTGTCTCCACCTGTATTAAATGCGAAGCATTTCTTAGTGAACTTTGGTTACTTTGAGGTATCTATCAGCTGCTTACGTTTGGGTGCTCTCGTGGTCACCCTCTTAACTTTGCGTGAACCAAAATTAGCATGAGAGGGTAAGATGGTTTGACAAATACACGCGTTGGTCAAGACATGAATGTCACAATCTTGTCGCCTATGTCGTCGAACACTTCCAGTCAGGCAGTGACACATACCCACGGGTGGGTATGTGCCACTGGTATGCGGGTATGTGCCGCAGTTGACAGACACCTAATATCTACCCAGGAACGACGAGAACACACATGCGCAATTTTATCGCGCGAGCGTTAAAAAATACCTGACACTGGTAGCGTAAACCCAACAAATCTAAAGAATAAACGTGCCCGAATAAATGTGCCCTAACAGAATAAATATTCTGTTTTTGTCACTGACATTTGTTACCCACTCCTGCTTGGGCCCGAACAGGGCCTGCAGTACTTGTAAATAAAAATAAATAAATAAAATGTCAGGGTCCCAGCTGGAATCGAACCCAGGCATTCTGCATGGCAGTGAAGCATTTAGCGCAGAGCTACGCCAAATCTCTGAACTACTTTTCAAGAAGACGCTAATCTTTGTGAAACATTAATAGTGGTTGCAGTGGTGCCTACCCAATTATATAAACATTACGTATGTACACCTTTGATAGCAGCCGTCACGTCGGGTTCACGTCAATTGTGGTTAGTTGCCATGCGCTGAAGTTTATTTACGTAGCAGTGTCCAGGGCCAGCATCCTCACGCCCATCAGCACTTCATATCAGTTTCTGGTGTTGCTAATACGCATGTTCCAGGTGGCCTCATTGCGCGTGTGCAAACAACTGGTTATATAAACATCTAAAACTCTTCAAAATTTAAACATACATTTACCGTATTTACTCGCATATTCCTCGCACTTTTTTTGCCGGAAAACCGATGCAAAGTTGGGGGGTGCGAGAATTACGCGGAGAAAACTTTCCACGAAAACGTACAGAGCGAAAAAGCTAACGAAGTGGCCGCAAATGAGGGTTCTCACACCAGCAACTTACAGCAAGCTTTAAGAAGTACTAATTAGAACTTAGCTCAACAATAAAAGCAGAGGTTCAACACAAGGCAAGATTTGCGACACAAAAAGTGCAAGCAATTAGTCAAGAATTAGAATACCATACGCAAAGCTTGTGGGCGTTGTGAGCGTAGCAATAGCGTTCGTCGCTCAACAGGAGCCCTCAAAAGGTAAGCATAGGACGTCAGTATTTTGCTGATGGCTATTTAACAGAATCGTCCGCAGTTTCCTTCTGAAGAAATGTTTACCATCAATCCCAGTTTTAGGCACACTGCAGGTCCAACGCGTCTTGGTGGCTTTCAGCTGCCATCATCAGTAGCGAACACAAAACTTGTAGACTCCTAAGGGCCTACTGGCGGCCCTGTTGCCGTCGTTTAGTGCATGATCTATCACTTGCAACTCGAAGCAGCCGTGTAGCTTCAGTATCATCCCATAACGTGCCAAGATTACCCACACAGCATACAAAACACGCCGCAACGCGCACTGGCCACTTTGGCTTGGCTTAGATTAAATTGAACCTGCAGTGCAATAGTACGCTTGATGCTTAAAAGATGGCGCCACATGGCGTGTGCTATCATCATCAATGGCTGGAACGAGCAGACGACATTATTGGGGCAGTTTTCGGGGGTGCAATAATTACTCGAGAAAAAAAAAAAATTGTATTTTTCTTCGGCGATGCGGGGGGGTGCAAGAATTATGCGAGTGCGAGGATTACGCGAGTAAATACAGTAGCGTCATTTTATGTCGTGTCGCTCAATAAACAAATTGCAACACAGTGACCTTCTTTCCGCATGCTACACGTAACGTCGATTCCCAAATGCGTGGCAATTTCTTTATTTTCGCACATTTTCTCTCTTAGCAAGCGTCTTGTCGCAGTAAGAGTGATGTTTTCGGAATTGTGAAATCGTGCTTTACTAATACGCGAAAAATTGTGTAGTTCCGTTGTAAGTGTACTGCCCAACCTTGGTGCTTTTCTCCAGGAGAGGCAGGATGCTCAAAGCGGTAGCATGCTTATTGCCGTAAAAGATTACTCAAGTGTTCTGCTTTCGAACTACGCGTCAATCCTTGAAAACCTCGGAAACCCTTGAATTTGAAAAGTGAACTCTCCAGGCCTTCGAAGCTTCAGGCGTTGTATTTTGACCTTGAAAACAATTGAAATTCGAGACTGGTGCAGTCTGAAGACAACAGTGTGACATGCTTTCTGTTGTAGATTAAGCATCGAGGCGGCAAGCTTTTCGTTTCATAAAGAATACACCCTGCAAGTTTGTGTATATTTTATTTTGTTTGGGCCTTGTCCTGTCCTTGATTTCACTCCTCGCTCGTCATTTTGTCTCTCTTACTCTCTACTTATTTCCCGACGACTTCACTCGTTATGGCCTCCTGCATCTACATTATTTTCTCCCTGTAAGGCAAGCAGTGCGTGTGGTTAATACACTGCAACGATGCGATTGCTTATAGTACTAGAGAAGTTTCAACATCTGCCCTGCCGCTGTGGTATAGTGGCTAAGGTACTCGGCTGCTGACCCGCAGGTCGCGGGATCAAATCCCGGCTGCGGTGGCTGCATTTCCGATAAAGGCGGAAATGTTGTAGGCCCGTGTGCTCAGATTTGAGTGCACATTGGAGAACCCCAGGTGGTCGAAATTTCCGGAGCCTTCCGCTACGGCGTCTCTCATAATCATATCGTAGTTTTGGGACGTTAAGGGGAGATACTACTCGAAGACACTGTTTTTTAATATTCATCCTAGAGCAATGAAACTTGAGTTGTTTATGGAACTTTATGTGCTGCTTTCAAATATATAATTAGTTTTCTTGCAAGTTGCACACTTTAAGCTCTACAAAAGTGTTAACCCTTTTGCTCCCTTTTTCCATCCCTAAACTTCTGTAATATTTTACTCTTTATAGTTCATAATGTTTCAAATAAAGTGTAGAATGCAAATAACTAATTAGGATTCACATACAAATTATGTAATACGTGTAGAAAATAATAGACCTAAAAGTCCACATTTCATCTACACTAGTAAAGGTTTACATACATTTTTTTATTGTACAATAAAGTATGGAAATTTAAACTAAATAATTGCATTTGTCATACTTTGGAAAAAATTTGAGCAAAATTTCATGCAGATCCAAACAATAGAAGTGCCCGAAAAAAGAAGGGCACATTAGAAAAAATTGCAAAATTTGCGTTCTGAGAAAAACACATTTTAAAAAATTGAGTTTTTATTTATGACGGATATCATTAAACCTGATGATATTTGCTCACCAAAAAGAACAATCCTTATTGTAGTGGCCACTGCGACTAAAATACGCCAGCACCATAAGTTTGTCCCTCTCGTCTTCTTCGAGCCGGCTCGTCACACATTTCGCTCACAGACAGGGCCATGAAACGCTTGCCAAACTTCCGCTCCATCTGGCAGAGCGTTGTGCCAACTGCAAGCTAGGAAGAAGTTCGACAGGACTGCGAAATCCTAACTTAGTCCAGTGTCATGCCATTTTGTGGCCATGTTTGTGCCACATACCATTGTACAAAGGCAATGTCGTCCCTGTTAACTTCTCTCACTGCAAGCTTTTTCGACCTCGCAAGATTGGCGCTGACGTCATCCATTGCCACATCATGAACTTTCCGGCTGACGGGTGTGAATAACTTTTGACGCGATTTTGCAAGCCAACAAATTAACTGCCGCAAATCAGACCAGCTGCTCGTAGCCCATTCCTACAGAGCACGCCGCACAGCGGCTTTCACTTGCAAGCAATTCCTTTTTTCATTCATAACGGAGATAATTACACGAAAAAAGTATGGTTTAGCTGCGCTGCTCGATAAGACATGGACCCCGCAAATAGATTTCACAGCACATACAAGCGCGCAGTGGCCAATGGTGGTCTCAGATACGTATCACGTGATAAGCCAGTCGCGGGGTTCAAAAAACGCGCAGAAGCGTGCTTGTTTTTATGACTTCTTGCGCTGCATCAGCGAGAGAAACTGTTGTTATTTGAAGAGTGAGGCTAGACTCTTCGACTCATGCGATCAACAATGGCGAGCAATGACGCATTATTGGCGGCAAAGTACTTGAAGACTGCATACTTAGGACCTTTTAAGGGGGGAGGCTACCTTCGAAGGGCAACTTTTTTGTTTGTTGAGATATCTTAATGAAATTTTCCGGGTACACTAATAGCAAAGCCATTTGAATAACCACAAAGTTTCATGCACTGGTTCCCAAGTTACAGCCATTTATCAGGGTAGTTCACATGGGTCCCTTAGTCAGGGTCTGGAGAATTTGAAAAATGTGCTAGCACTGTGAAATTCACTATGATGATTCCTGGATAGGTGCTTTAGGGCAAGACAGAGCCCTTTTTTTAAATTTCCTTGCCAAAAAATGTTAGCAGAGCACTGAATTTAGTGTTCACAATTTGGCTCTCATCAATGAAGTTTTAGTTAATTATTACAAATTACAGACACA